ACGTGTATAGGTCAGAGGTCGCCACAGGGGCAATTAGTTGTCGGGCGCTGTCACTACCGTAATGTTCTACGTGGTTCTAATATACGCGCAAAACACACGCGAAATATTGAACTGCTTACACCCCAAAGAGGTGTAGTCTCGTGCACAGATCCCACCCACTCATAACGTGGAAAAGGGGTCTGGTAACTATTGACACATTTCTTGGTCCTAGATCTCGAAAACGAGATCTCCACATCAGATTGCAGAACAGCCAATCAATGTCACGTGCATCCGTAGTCCGCGGACTGTGGTAGGCGGGGCCCCATATGCATCACAAACTAGACTAACGGTTCAGATACTATGTATAATGTCTTTAGGACAAGGTTTTGAGTCAATAGCTCCCAGACGTTCCTTTCCCCTGTGGGTAGAGCAGCTGGGTTCGAGACTAAAAGAGATGCTCGCGCTCGCTCACCAAACGATGTGTTGCATTCCTCTAGTCATTCTTTGTTCACTTAGGTTTCATGCTGTAACATGGCAGTGTTAACAATCAAGTTAGTGTGAACACGTTAGTATTGCTCTTTAACCCTTTGGGCGCCATAGGTGTCTCCTTAAATAAGCAGAAATTGATGTACAACATATTAGCGCCTAGTATTATAGCCATATATAAATTCTTATGCACTTATGGAGGCTCTGCGCATATAATATATATGTAAAACGTGCCCAAAGGGTTAAGCATCAAAAACGTGGTAAGACATAGACACAAACAAGCACAGTAACCCTCCCTCATGGTAACCCTCACTAAGGGTTAATTGGCAGGAAAAGTGAGCCCTAGTTGTCTAAAAGAGAAAATTTGTGATGTATGGGCACTGCCACACATTCTGTAATGATGTGAGAAACGCAAGAAAAATGTATTTAAACCACATAGCTATCTAGTAATCTTGAACATACCTTACTGTTGTTTCCATATCAACTCCAGGAGGGGTTGATACCTAGGGAATATTCATTGACATGTCATATAGGTCACAGTTTATAGCTGTGTAAATTTACCCTCAGCGCACATGCACAGCGAATGTTACAGTATTTGGTCTGTCTGTCTCTCCATGCATCTCTCTGCTTGTTGACCTCCTAAGGCAAGTAAGAGGTTTGCAGGACAAAGCAAACAACACAAGATGTAACCATCCAATAGCCTTATGGACGCACTGGAGAGACTTAGCTCCACAATCTGATTTTAAGTGCCAAAGGCCAGCACCAAATGCAATGTCGCTCAAGGTTTGTGCTGAACTTTGAACCTTATAGTTATAATATCCAAGTTTTATCGTGTGTCACACATACACTGTGCTGTTTTCTCCACAGAGGAACGATGTCTGGTAAAAAGAGGCTGACACAATTTTTAGAGACAAGCAATATGCTATGCGGCACATTGTCACTTCATGCCAGCGTGAAGATTTTATGCAGTTAAAAATGAGCTCTATATTAATTGTTGGACACCCCTGTTATAATCACCTTTTGATGCCATGGGCATCTTCTTATAATTATAGTATGTATAAAGTATTAGCACCTAGTACCCGATATAAATTCTTATGGACTTAAGGAAGGTGGCTCTGGACACAATAATATGTCCGAGTGTTAAAATGTGGTGTGCTATATATAGCTCACCATGTTTGCACCATTCTCCAAGAGAATTTGTAAAATCTCTTTCTCACATAATCTGTTTGCAATTTCAGCAGGAGTTTCTCCATACTGTGTTTAGGCATTGTTTTAGAGTTATGGCACAAAACATAACCGACGTACCTTATTTCCAACATTGGGATTAGCCTGCATAGATAGCAGGCGTCTAACAATTTCGAAATTCCTGTTTTTACAGGCAATTATGAGTGCAGTTTCCCCGTCCTATAGTGGGTGGAATCAACATTATGCTAAAAGGAGTTACATTGACTTACATTGTCCCTCATATCAAGCTGATGACTGTAAACTGCACAGTCGACAAGTAAAGCTTTAGCAACCCCATCTTGTCTTTTTGAAATGGCCATTTGAAGAGCATTTTGTCCGTACTGTTGCATGGTTCATCATAACACATGTAAGGCTCTGGATAGCCACAGCTAACCTTGTCCTGGATGTATGGCATTTTTGTAACTCTAAGGATCTTGAGAGCAACTTCAAAATGATGTTCACGAACTGCTTCCATTAGTGCAGTCCGTCCACTCTACATACATAGTAAGTAAATTTGAATTGTGCTGCTTTGGTTCAACACTCACTTGATTTTGCAAATCAGGATTGGCACCTCTCTGTAGCAAGATATCCACACTTACTGTGTGACCGTACTTCGCTGCTGCCATTAAAGGAGTCCGACCTTCCTGCAAGGAAAAAAACGATGGTTATATACTAGTAGAATGTGTTTTAACATTATTGGCGAGCGGGAGCGACCCAACTGGTACAGTGCCCGACACAAGAACCTGTGTTATAAGCCTGGTTTAGAAAGCGGTCCAAAAGAAATGGACATGTAGTGTGCTAACCAGCAGCGGTTGAGCATTTGGACGATTGGTTTTACATTCAAGTAGAAATTGAACATGTTTGTATGCACATACACGTGTCATGCACATCCAGTGATAAATATTTAGCCGTGCTCGAGAGGCGGATGTTTCTCTGTGACGTTGTTTCTAGCGCTTAACTCTCATCTGTTGGAGGCGTGTCATGATCTTGAGATTATGGTGCTCCACGACATGCTCTCGACCGATGTTGCGACAGGCGCATCTCTCTCTCCTTGGCCGTCTCAGAAGCAAGATGCTGTCTCCGCCTATAGAGAACGTTGCCTCGCCAGTCAGCGGTCCTGGGCGTCAACGGTTTCTGAAGCGCGACGTTGGCTGTCTCTCCCTATGCACTGAAGGATCCATCACTACACAGGAAGGTCAGGTCTATGGGATTTTCTGAGGCGGTTTACTTCCTCCAGGGAACTCACACTAACACGGATTGACTTGGGATCAAAGACTGTTAGGAACAAACCATCTAGTGACCTAACCCTGGATAGAGCCACACGCGGTAATATTGCACTGGGCCTAGCGGTTATTTAGAGTGATGTAGAACATTACGGTATGTGTGTCGTACGCATCGCTGGATAGAAATAAATAAACAAATAAATGGAAAATTGGCCCGTTGCAAGAACTAGGTTGACAGCAGGAAGGGGTTCTACTCACACTATTTGTAAGGTTTGGATCCGCTCCATTGTCCAGTAGCAAACATATCATCTCAACATTTCCTTCTCTACTTGCATCCATCAGAGGTGTAGTTTTAAACTAAGAATAGAGTTGGATCCTTTTGTGTGTTTTTACTTTATTACTTAAAATCTTACCAATGATAACAAAATATTTGGGTCTGCACCTTTTGAGAGCAATAACCTCACTTTTTCTATGTCACCACTATGAACTGGGAGCATTAATTCCTGCAAAAAATAACTTTATAATCCATTGTGCAAATGAACAGCGAGGTTGTCTGTCCTGTGATCCACAATTTTATCACCATGTTAATCTAAATGCGAAACGAACACGTTCTGGGCTCATTTTAATAAAGGGTGATTTGCGTAAAAGTTCTGGCATGAAAAACAAGTGAACAAGCCAATTGGTAATGAGAATTCCCATAGCTTGACCATAAACTGCCTATACTTTTGCGCATCAGACGTTAAGATTGTGTGATACTTATAGCATTGCCAACAAAGCTAACTACTGATGTAACTTGCCTGAGTGACAAACGAAGAAATGGATAAATGGACTGCATCTATGCATTTAGTGCACTTACATAATACTTTTTCTCATACACAAATGTAGCTACAGTATTCTAGTATATATGTGCACTGCATAGGGTTAGCACTTCAGCACTTCAGCATTATACTCTTATGTAATAAGCACACTGGTGATAAAGGCGACCCTAGTTATCTAACAAAAAGTGCATCACGGTAAAAAAATCTACCATGGAGTTAACCCTCTCCTGGGGGAGATCTTTGGACACTTCAGACATTACCATCCCAGCCACAGATCCCTGCATAAAAAGGAGCATTGCTGTAAAAGGGTATAGTGAGTAAATGCGATACACACCAGTGTCTATGGTGTCTGTGGTGTGTATAACCTTGTACATTAAGCATGAGGTGGTAGGTTGCAACTTGGCTGTTAATTTAGCTATGGCAATTTTTACGGGTATGTCAATGATTGGGTACTTTCTCCACTATTAGTATGTGACCTGCTACAGGAAAAGGTACAATTATACTGCCATGGCAAATGTCTCAAAGCGCACTATATGAATATTGGCACTGATTCCACCCCCCACTTAAGAGATGTGGAATTGCAATTTCTTGGTTGTGCTGAATCAGAATGTGTATGTAAATTGCATAGTTCAACCTGTCAGTCCCGTGATTACCTGGTCAGTGCTCCTGTTCTTTTGCGCTGTGCATGCACAGAACAGGTCGGCATTGCAAATCGTCTTCATGTCACATGATACTTTTAAATCCGGCAATCTGTTTGGGTTACCTGTTTTCCGAACATGTTGACTCAGCACAACCAAGAAAATGGACGTTATTTACCAGACCCTCTTATAAGTTCAAGTTTTTGCCTCATCGCTTGAAACAAAGAAGAGGGCAGTAGATAGCTATTAGTGTAGAGTCACTGGGTACCAACTATCGTTACCCCAACTCCACCTATGCTTGCGCCATGCACATGCGCAATAAGTCTAGTTTACTGAGGAGCACGGAAAACACGATCTCTTCTAGCGCTGAAAAAAATCCACAAGATATTCCTCGATTTCTCACTTGTAAGCGTAAGCTTGGTAACTGACACTTTGCTGCTATAGACATGTTCTTTTTCGTTTGCAGATGACTCATTCCCTAAAATGCCTAAGCGGGGGCGAAGTTTTCGTTCCAGGAAGAGGCGCTTGTCTGCTCCGGCTGTCCTCCTTACTTCTTCGGCCCTAATTAAGCGTAAGCAGTGGGCAGAGGATGCGATGGCGGCAGCACTAAAAGTGGGGTGACGGTTAAGCGAGCTGCTGACGACCATGGGGTGCCTGTAACCACACTTCGTGGTCGGACAAAGAAAGAAGTTGGCACTTGAGCAAAAGGAACGTAAGAAGACTGAAAGGGAAGAGAAAAGAAGACAGAAGGAGGAGGAACAAAAACGAAAAGCTGAGGAGTGAAAGAAAAAAGCAGAGGAAAGAGCAAAGAAAGAAAAAGAGGCAGCAGACATGAAAACTCGAGGCAGAAGAGAAACCGAAGAGACAACGCAGGGGTTGGGGAAGTCAGATAGTGCAGGCGAAGCTGGTGAGAGTGCACCTCCAAGGAAAAAGCTCCGCAAGCAAGTATTAACTGTCAATGAAATCGATACTAACATGTGTTCCGTGTGCTATGTGTTGTACTCGGAAGACGTCACCAACGGCAGTGGGAGCAGAGTGGATTGAATGTGCATGTGGCTGTTGGCTACATGAGGAGTGTGCTGAAGACTGTGCCGTAGATGAAAATGGCGAAGAAAGATTTTGTCATACTTGTCTGTAATGTCTCTCTCATTGTTTTGTTGCAGTTGTGTATTGCTCGCCATTAATCAACATGTTTGTTTGTGAGCATTTTTCGCAAGGTCGAGAAAAAAGATTTTTTTGGTATAACACATAGCGCTTTTTTCATTCTATATCGTGGTGTGCGTGAAATAGGAACTGTTAGCCCATAGAAGTCATGAGGGCAGCGGTTGATGATAATTAAATGTGCAAATTGTACATGGAGCGATGTTTGGTACTAGGTAGCGATATTTGATATTTTACCTCGCATGTAAAGCTTGCTTGCGCTATGGCTGCATTTGGAATTTCCTGCCGATTTTTTATATATACAAAGGTAGCATGATAAATGAACTACTTGCAGGTTAATGTAGAAATTCGGTAAGTGGTCCCAGCGCAACGTTACGTCACCCATTCCTTAGGGGGGTCGATAATTGGCACTTTACACTATGTGCAGAATTCTGAGAATGGAGGTAGATCTTTTTTTATCAGTCAGACCCTGGTAAGGAAGTGACTAGGGCTTCCTATCATGCTGGCCCTGATAACAAAAGGCAGCTGTTAGCCCAGTTGAAGAAAAATATTGCTGATAGGGCTGTATTATAGAGGTAATGCAGACAGACCTGACCTGTTCTCAGTGGGAAGGATACCCAGCTGTACTGGGAGTTGCCTGGCAGGTAGGGCACTGAAGTGTTTTTCCCGCCCCTTATCACCTCTGCTGACTTGTACATTCCTGCACCCTTATCCCACCCACTGACCTGTAGCCTTTGCTCACTACCAATTCCATTGTAAGCCTACCAACCTTAGTTGAACTACCAACTCCTATTATAAGCCTACTCCTTACCTTATCTGGCTACTCCTCTGTATTATGCATTGTGTTTCACTTGATGGTAAACATATTATCTTTATGTTCAAAGGGGCTGGACTCAAACTGCACTTGTCAAGCTGGACCCTGAACCCTTCAAACTTCTGGCTTCTACTGCCCACTTGCTACTAGCTATATACCCCTCATTTGGCCTCTACTTTTGACCTCAGACACCTCTCCTAAAGCGAAAACTTTCATTCACAACAAAGCACATGTACAATCAATGTGGGATTAGTTTTGTACTTGCGCAAGCGCCCGCTATATAGTATCTCGTGCAAGAAGCACACAAGAGCAACAAAATTGCATTGCAAACTACGTCAAAACCATCGCCCCCGCCCCCACAATGCACTGCGAGTGTGTGCGCGATAGCGATCTCTGCAAATCCTCCACAGCGCACAAATCTCCACCGACGTGTGCGTGAACCGTAATGCGTGCAGCCCCTTGCTCGCCACTCTGTACCGCGAAAAGAGTGGGGCTAAGCGCGTGCTAAAAAATTAAGTGGAAAACTCATTTCTTCAAAATGTAGGGGGATGTAGAGACGGGGTAAAGGATACCAACAAGAAAGATGCTTCAGCTGAAAAACAAAAATCATACATCCATCCCAATACCTTTCTTTACTCACAACCTCAACTGTGAGTTGTTATGAATTAGTTTACCTACGCCAGTAACAAGTGATCTGGAATGGTATTAATATCATATTTAATAGAACATCCCGCTCGTTTATAATCATACAAACTTAGAAATCAAAACCATTTCCTATGCTTTCCCATACATTTTACTCGTCATATCCCGCCTATTACTATAGAAAAAATTGAGCAATTTTGGTTTTTGCCCGCATATTGCCATTATTGCGCATGCGTAATTAGGCATTCTACAACCTTGGGCTAGAGTTTTGTAACTCTTCATCCTGGCTCATTAGCTTATGTAAACAGCTAGGCTAGCCTATATAGCTTGATTAGCTTAGCTAAACAAACTGCATTGTGCGGTATTAGTTCACAATATACACAGTATACACACCCGGAGTATACGCACTCACAGTATACACGCACAGTATACACGCACAGTATACACGCACCCGCATTACAGCATATTATCATATTTAACCCTCGGCGCGCATGCGCAGCGAGGGTTACAGTAGTTGGGTTTGTCTGTGTGTGTGTCTGTCTGTTACTCTACATCTCACTTCTCGAACGTATGTTCGTCCCAGAAAAAGGATACCATCTACCCAACGGGCGACGAAGGTCAGAAAATAAAGGCGGTTTTCTCTGAAAACGCTCCGTTGTTAATCTAGAGCGGGAAAAAGCCAATATGCAAATACACAACGGCTTTCTATGGCCTGACCGATCCGCGTGCTCTGCGTACCCCGGAGGCACCAGAAGATGCAACGACGGGCGTGTTTCGCCTCTCGCATGCTATCTAGTAGTGTAGTTAGCCCGCGTCAGACTCTGCGCGAGCTGGCAAGAGACCACGAGTAACAGCTAAAACTAAACCCAGCCCATCAATTAGTGGTACGGCACATGCGTTTACTTACGCGCGCGCGTCACAGTGCGCCGAGGGTTTGCACTTCAGTGCTTTTCATTTTTGGATGCACCGCGGGTATGATATTAACCGGGACCCACTGTAGCAAGCAAATGCAGCACTGACAAATGGTGAGCACAGGGTAGTAGAACATCATTTCTAATTTTTGAAGGATTCTTACTTTAGAACAAAGTAAGGCATGAAGATCCAATTCCTCCAATTTTCCCTTCCAGTTACACCCTTTATTTCTCTTAGAACAAAACACGGGTAGGGAGTTCACTTGATGCTGGAAGTTTACGTCCAGCTTTGTGGACAAAAGAGGAGCATTACACAGTGGACATGTTCCTCCTTTTTTCATCATGAGAGCAGCTTCCTGAGAGAGATGTTTGCCACAACATGATGTGAGTTGGGGCCGGAGCAGTAGACTAAATGTCACTGGACAGAAGAAGTTTTCTGATGGTTGCTCAACAAATAGATACTCTTTCTCTGACGAAGGTCTGGACTGCCGACTGAAAAAAAACGAACAATTTAGCTAGCAAGTCTGATTTTGCAATAGCAACTTTACCTCGGAACAGCACTAGTACTAGTTGCGCCAAATGCTTTTGCTAAAAGCTCCATTAGAGTGGGCCCCACTACCCTTTCGAGCAGCCCAGTTACGCCGTCCATAGGTCGATTCTCTCCGCTCTGCTGACGGGCGGAATCGTCCTGCAACCCTCCTGACAACACTCCCTGCTCAGAGGAACGGGATGCTCTTGCTTCATCAACATGTCCCGGTGTCGATGGCTTATCCATAATTCCAGGGCCAGTCTCCTGACCGATGAAGATGAAGCGTTTCCGTGGTGTTGTGAGTCTACTTGCTCGCCCCTACATTGCGCACGCGCAAAACCAGCACCCACGATGACGGTGTATATAATTATAGCTCACACAACAATGCCAGTCACAAGTATGAAGGGGAACCCAGTCTGCGTTTACATGGCAAGCACCCTGGATTTGTACTTGCTTTTTTGATGTTTGTGACTCTTCAATAGTAGCAGATTGAGAAACATTCCGAAGTAAAGTGGCCATGAATGTGATGAACGCACATGAGCTACCTATCATCACAGTACTACCACGGACCTCAGAAATCTCCGGGGGACAAGGATGGGAGAACCCCTGGGAAAACCCCAGGGAAAACCCCAGGGGAAAGCCTGACTGTGATAATTCCAAGAGGATCTGGTGCATGGGGATGTGGTAACAGGCTAGTTTTGAGCCACATCCATCCAGCGCTTTCTTTACTTGTGAGAGGTCACAGAATTGCTTTATAGCCAAACACACAACTTTTAGCAGTTCTGAACTCATCAACCTTTTTCATGTGAAATGATAAAGAGTAGAAACAACACTATAGTCCCCTTGCGGGCCAGGTAGCTGCTAATGCGTCCCTTCAGACTAGACTGGACTAGCTCCCCTTCCCCGGCCAGTGCCATTAGTCCAGTCCCAGCTTGCACTATTGCTTGGCAGTCTAGCTATAAAGAGAGCGTATAATCATGGAGTGCCTATAGTACTTTATGGGGGTCTATTGCCCCAATTATTGCGGGTTCACTGGAGAACATGTGTTTTGCACTTTGCACTTCTAACTATAGTTAACCCTAGGAATGCATGCAAAATAGCTACTAAGTTTGTGTCGGTCAGTATATAATATAACTGTTGCACGTTTTCTGCCACACATGGGCCAGAGAGGGAGACTTGGTTCTTGCACTTTGTGTGGTATGACAACTGAAGAGTAATGGGGGTGGGTATCATAATATTATTATTTCTGCTGGTAGGAAGAGTATGCTGTGATGTTGATGTAGACAATGGAACAAAGTGACCAGTGAGGAGTATAGGTATTACACTACTATGAAGCTGCTATGCATGAGAGGCAACACTGTTATTCTAATATTGTTCCTCTGCTCGTTATTTTCATTTGTCCAGTGTGGCGTAAGTGAAAACTAATTCGCTATTAATTATCGATAATTCTGTTTCTCTTATTCTCAGTATCGTGGCCCAGTAGATGGAGGCTTCTCACCTAAGGCAACAATCTGTACGTGCGACAACCTTGCACCAACCGCTAACATTAAAATCGCGACTCATCATTTTTCCGCTGGTGATGACAATGATCTACTCCTGAATCCGCCTAGGCCCAAGACCAAAGAATGTCTACATCATACCATTGCCTGGGAATTCTCACTACTAACAAAAGGGAGTTGATGCTGATTAGTGTGGGATCTCGGATGGTACAAATAGCCATCTCCAATTTCTTGTAGATGCCAATGATTATGCTACCTATCCACCTTGTCGTCCAATTAATGGTTCCCACGACAATAACTTGGTTCCTCCCGGTACCAAGGTTCCACCAACAATTACTCTTTCGTTTGTTCCATTTTTCAAATATGCAACATGCGAGACGGGTCAAAATGGAGGCTACCTCAACACTGGAACATTCAATACTAAGCTAGATACTGACAAACAACTCTTTCTTCGTGTATTCAGGCACAATGGCTCAGAAGAAGTCCATCTGCGCTACATAAAAATTGAGGATTTTGTCTAGGTGCTAACCGCAAGGAATTATTTGAGACACTTGTTGTAGTTAGTTATATAGCTACTGTAATAAAGCTACTGTATTGTAACTCTAAATTCTGGCGCTGCCAATTCTCCTAAAGTGCAAATCCTCCTCTGAGCACACTTATACGCATGTACAAAAAGCGCCGCTAGTTGATAGGCTTGATCATGCCTGCGCTGCCGACGACTAAAACTTGTCGGCTAGCGTTTGAGCAACGTTGCCGGATAATATTCGGTCGCGCGTATAGCCGCGCGCGCCTAGATTCTGCGTATAGCGCATGCGCGCCGATTTCCTCCCTGACGTCACGCGCCTGTATCAGGGCGTGGCTTATCGTCGTACATTATTCTGGAGAGAGGCAAGTAGCAAGACGATCGCGTTCATGGCTACGTCAGTCAGTGGCACTGAGACCATCGTTCAACGGAGGGTGGCTACTCCAAAGGGAGGGAGCCAACAGGAGTCACCCGAGAAGACGAGAGACGACAGCTCCTCCACCACCGGCTGCCTCCCCAGGCGGTTTCGTAGAGGGAGTGACCGCCCCAAGTCCAGGAGACCGCCCTGTACGTTACCACACTCACCCTTTTTGAAGTGCCTTCTTTGCCTCCTCACATCGGTAGATTACTTCACTTTCCCTCCCTTTCCCTTTCCTGCCACTGTTCCCTCTCCCTTTTTCTCACTCGCCCTCCCCCTCACCTCATCCCCAATGCCCCCAATGTGTGTGGTCTATGTCCCTCCCTCCTCTATACTCTCGTGTTTGTGTCTTACGTATGTCTATCTCCCAGCTAACAAATGGCTCCAGCAGCAGATCCCAGCCTGTAGACCAGTATTCACCGCCAAGTATGTGTTTGGCCTGTTCATCATAGTGGGCATCTTGTTCCTCATCCTGGGAATCGTCTTTGTTGCTGCCACTGTCGGGGTGAGTTACTGAGTATAGTAGCCTAGCCTGTAGGTTCACTTTAGAATTCTTCAAAGGCACAATTAAACAACACCTCTGTAATTGTTGGGGTGTGGCTTGTAATGATTAGCGGGTACCAAAAGGTCACACAACTAATGTTTAATTGCACAAGGGGTTTCTGCAGTAATTCATAGCCAAACACACTGTAAAAGGTACAATTCCTTCACACAAGTGATTCTGTACAGTTTTTCCTGTCTCGTTTTCTGAATGTGGGATTGTTTTTCAACTACCCCTCAATCTACACTGCACATACACTGTAATGTTATACGTATTTCTACATGTGAAATGGGCAAAAAAATAACCAACTGCTGGCTTCGCTCACCAAAAACGCCTTGTGTTCTTTCTAGCATTTTTCTCTCTTGTGAGTGTGAGTGTGAGTGTATGTGAATGTGTGTGTGTGTGTGTGTAGTTGAGGGAGCTGGAGGTGGAGTACACCAACTGTGGACCTCTGGAGACCGACAATATCCAGGCCTCCAGCTGCGAAGATTACCTCCGAAACATTTCCGACATTTCCAACTCCGATCGCAAGTATACATGCATTGTACATTGTACACATATGTGTAGGGTACACAGTGTTTGAGAGAGTTAGGTTATGGAGCAAAATGTAGCTTGTAGTAAGCCATTGTATCTTTGGTGTTTGAAAAAGCCCAAACTGAACCCATTGGGTCGTAGCTCGAAAGTAATGGCATGTGAGGAATGGTCCCTTTTCCATAGATGACAGACCAGCACTGCACATACCGTAATGTTTTACGTGATTCTAAATGCATGCGAAACACGTGTAAAGAATCGCTTCACTTGCCAATAGTCTGTTGTGTTCTATAGTAATGGGTTCTAATGTGTGAGTGACCACTGTATGTCTGTGTGGTGTCCAGGAATACAGGTGACTGCCACTGTACCCTGGTGTTTGAAGTCAAGGACACCATGAGATATCCCTGGTGAGTGACCTTTCACCCCCATCTTTAACACTGCTCCCAATACATTTCTTGTATTTTAATACATTGTACGTGTATGATTGACAGGGTGTAATTTCATGTAGGTAAAGTAGCTATGCATGTGTACGTATATATGTATATATTTGTTAGCAAGGCAGAGAAGTGTTTGAAAACAAGGGACCTATAATATTTATGTTACATTATTATGTTCACTGTGTTACATGTACAGTTACATATTACGCAACAAATGGACATGCACTCTGAGGTGTATGTGTCCTAGCCACAAGTCTCGAAAACAGAAACCTATCATTTGACACTGTACTATGTGCAGGAAGTTCTACTTATGTTTCTACTGCTATGCTGCAGCCTCTCATCTCTTAATTATTGACACTGTACTACATGTCATAAAACCTGTCATTTGACACTGTGCAGGAAGTTCTACTATGCTCTGGACAACTACTACCAGAACCATCGTCGCTATCTCAACTCCTGGGACCCCGCCCAGCTCCGAGGGGACAACTTCCGCAGTCCTGACAGCAACTGCCGTCCTCTTGTCAGGTAACTGAGACCTGCACAATGTGTGCTCATAGTGTTCTTCATACGTACATCCCCTTGCACTGTTATAGACAAGCTAACTGTTTATGTACATAGGTATTGTGTGTATGTACACCTACAGTAGTGATCAGAATCATATGTTTACTTTCATTCGACGCACACAAGATTCCTCATGGGGGTTACAGTTTGTTAAGAGTTAAAGTAATATCGACTTGTGTTGCTTCTACGAATTTTGCATCCACTTCACTGGTGTGCATTAATACTTGTGTTGCTAGTTTTTGCCCCAGCCAAAGAGAATATGTCGGTGCATAAGGGCTAAATTTATAAATAGGACAATAGGGCTCAGTGCAAGAATGTAATTAGGTTTGCAACTTATTCTAAGTACATATAGCCCTTATACGTACATATACTGTTCTGCCACATTTCCTTTTATCTCAAGCACAAAGGAGCGATAAGTACAGTGTAATGATGATCGTATCATGACTGTCTTTTATTTTTATTCACATGCTACATTAGGTATAGAGACAATGACAATGACATGAATAACGCATCTCGACTGCCAATTGTTCCCTGCGGTATCATTGCCAACAGCTGGTTTAATGGTCAGTACTCTGTTGTATATGTACGTACCTGTGTGTCACCACTGCGGTACTAGCAAATAGGCAAACAACATAACCACACCTAGGACAACTCTTGTTTCAAAAGCATCACCAATTGGTTTTACTGGTTTGAATGGTTCAAAGGTCACACAGTATCCAATAATTATCCTTGTGAACATGTGTATTATACTTTGGTTGCCCCGAAAGTGGTTGTGTAAACCGTTTATATATACAGGTACTGCGTACTTTACTAATGGCTTATGGGACATATACGCCTAACTTTTGACAGATAAGGTTTAAAATGCAGTGAAGCATAACCATCAGAATGGGAGAGTTGCCAATGTGTTAGCATTTTTACAATTGGATGTGAAATGAAGGAGTTATGACAATTTGTCGAGTGTTCAGGTGAAGTATATACTATAGACTTTATCAAACAGATATGCGTGATATTCTCTTTGTTTGTGCTCTAGATTCGTTTCCACTACCTACACAATGAGGACTGAACGAGACGATAGATCTCAGCAGGAACAACATAGCCTGGAAGACTGACAGAGAGGTGAGGTTCAGAATGACAGCAACCTGGCTGCAGATCTGGAAGGGACCAACCGTCCTCCCAACTGGCCGTATAATGTGTCTGGTGAGAATGACCGCACCAACACACTTGTGATGTACATGTATACACATGAGGAAATTTTTGCAGTATATACATATTATTATAAATCTGTATGTGTCACGAATGTCGAAGTTGCGAAATATTGTGCAGACTACATAGATAGTTTGTACACATTAGGAGGGACAGGTTAGCTTCCACACAGCCCGTATCTGTATATTATGTAGCTACTTAACTTCAAAATACACACATGTACAAATAACACTGGGACCTATTACGTTTTTTCGTTAACAAAAATGCTCAATATGTTCCTCTGTTTACGTTTAACCATATTTTCCCGTTCAGAGATTGGGGATGGTCTTGGGAACGAATCACTGATAGTGTGGTTTCGAGCGTCTGCATTCCCCTGGTTCCGGAAGCTGTATGCTCATCCTCGAGGTGACACGGATCTTCGTCCTGGAAACTACTCCCTACTCATCACATACAGTATCCTGCCCCTTTAAACCATTCAACTTATATATGTATCATGAGTCATGATTTTCCCAGCCTTAGTCTCTCTCACCCCCACGCAAGCAATATTTGACATGTGACTGGTCTTACTGTGCGTTTGTTTATGTGATCAAGGAGTAATGGACTGATGCTAAAACTTTCTATGGAGGCAACTTCAGACTTTTTTTTATGTGCACAAGAGTGTCGAAACAATGTGGCTTCTAATAAATTATATCGCCTAAAGCGTCCTGTGTGTATCAAGAGCAGCTTCCTTGCTACTGAGTAATGTGAGGATGTAAGCACTGCCAGAGAAATGTACATAGCTTTCTTCACTGGCTTACCTCAGAAAATAACAACATATATACCGCCGCATTCCTTAAAACTGGAAATGTTGAACTTAGTGAAGGCAAATTTGTACTCTTATTAATACATAAGCGTGTAGAAAAATTCTTTAATTAAGCATGCAGATTACCCGGTGGACAACTTCAGAGGACGTAAGTCCATCTTCATCTCAGAGCTGTCCTGGCTAGGTGGTCGAAACCTGTTCCTCGGCATTGCGTACATCATCACGGCCGTGGTGTGTATTGTGACGGGCATAGTCCTACTAGTCATCCACCTTTTCTTCTCCAAGTGGTGAGTGTAATCATGCAGTGTGTGTGCATAGCCTTTTACAGTGGAACCTCTGATAACGAACCCTCCTAATAGAGGGCATCCCCCCTGTAATTAACGGACAAGAGTCGATGCATTATGCAAACTGTTGTTTCTATGGACACAATTCTCCCGAATAGCGTACACCCCCGATTTCCTTACAATGGACACCCTGTGTATACCTTTCTAATAAAAGTGCACCTCTATTAATCGACAAAATGGGCATGGTTGTTACGGTGGCAGAGCATGAAATCGAGCCTCTGGACACTTTACAAAACTTCTTTGCTCATTTTCGCTCTTCTAGTTATAGTTTCCGATGATGGGTGGATGTATACACGTCTATAGGGACGTGTGAGGGATGCAAATACAGTTTCTCTGCGCAAACTGGTGCGAGGACAAGTGCGCATTGTCTCGCATGGCCGACTCTCTTTCTCGCTGGCCACGAGAGTGTGCACGGATGTGAATTGTTGGCGAGCATATTGATTCTGTGGGATTTAGCGCATTATGTGTAAATTGGTGTAGGAAGCACTTTGACTTTTTAAATAATAAGTGCACTAGTGATAGCTATGCATGCTCTTCGATCTTACTGACAATTGAATTTATCTTGTATTGTACGTTTTGCTCTAGCACAAACCAAAAGCATGATTTTCTCACTGTGTCCCATGCATAATTATATCAGTTGTATTTGTTTTTTCCCCACTAATGTAGGAGAACTTCAGATCCAAATTACTTGAAAAGAGAGTACTGAAATAGTTTAGAACACTTTACGCCATATGACTAGGTTATATACGTGAAGTACTTGATTGTTTTTATCATCATTGGTTTGAGTTTGGTTGCTAAGGCATAAATGTATATACTTTATCCCATGTTTACTAAAATTACTATGACCGATTATGTGGATTAATGCTGGAGATTTCATGCAGCTCGCCCAGCAAAGAATATCCGCGGGTTTGCTGTTGACCACAACAAATTTGCTCTGCTCTGTTTAACTCCCAGTCTTAGGGAGGTAGTCAGACTAATAACTGTTTTTAAGAAGGACCTGGATTCAGCAGCAGTGATATCATTACATTGGACTACACAACGTCTATACCTCTGCCACTATACTGACAGGCACTCTATATTGTCACTATAAATTACAAGTGGAAAACCATTT